TTGAGGCGAGCCATCAGTTTGAAGTTACTGTACATACAATATGAGGGCTAGGTCACTTGCTGTGTAACTGAGCGTGCTCTGACCCTGACTAGTATTTGGTTTTTAACTCAGGGTTATTTTTAAATTCATATTTATATTAGTGTCTGCATTTGGCAATCTGTGCAGTATTGATTCAGGGGCCATGCCTAAAGATATTTTAAAGCTGATTCTTCTAGAACACAAAAGCAGGATCCATTACAGAGATTACAGCAGTTAGCAGCAGCTTTTTGGGGAGCCATGCCAAAGACAGAAGACTGCAGTCCATTGTTGGAAATGATCTCTTTAAAATGCAGTGTCAGCAGGACTGACATTAGAGGCAGAGCTGGCTAGAAAAGATTTTCCATCCTTTGAAAAATTGAGATTTTGAAATGTGTTCATCCTGCCTCAGGCCAAAATGAAATTGTCAGAAATTTGTGTTCCAATCAAAACATTTTGTTTGATTTCAAATATTTTGTTTAGATTTCAACCCTTTTAATTTTTATATAAAATCATTTTTGGAATGAAACCATTTTGAAATGAAAAATGTAAACTTTGTTCTGAAAATGGAACACTTCAAACATTTTCAAAATCTTTTTCCATTTTTTTCCTAACCAAAACCCGTACAATTTTGCAAAAAAGTTTGGTTTTGTTGAAATGGCACATTCCAACAGAAAACTGTTTTGTCAAAAATTTTCCAGCCAGCTCTGATCAGAGACTTGCTATTGTTAATCTGGCTGGCAGTAAAGTTAAGGAAAGCCACAAAATGCTGTGCACGAACACTGCCTAGAACCAAATCATTACTGTAGGGCTAGGTAAAAGAGCTTGTTAAAAAAAAATACATTGTCCTAGTCCAGGGGTTCTCAAACTGGGGGTTAGGACCCCTCAGCGGGTCACAAGATTATTACATGGGGGGTCACAAGCTGTCAGCCTCCATCCCAAACCCCGCTTTGCCTCCAACATTTATAATGGTGTTAAATATATAAAAAAGTGTTTTTAATTTATAAGGGGGGGGGGTTGCACTCAGAGGCTTGCTCTGTGAAAGGGATCACCAGTACAAAAATTTGAGAACCACTGTCCTAGTCTTATTTTACTACATCATGGTATAAATCTGTTACAAGAAGCATTGCAGTAATGGGCTGCTTGTGTAACCGGTTTCCAAGCTTCGCTTTCAAGCAAACCGTTGCACAGCCACATAGGACAGTCAGACAGTACGGTTTTAAGGGACTGTCCTGGATTTCAGGGCAGCACTGCTGTTCCCACATGTTTTAGCAAAACCTGACATTGTCTGGGACAGCTGGTCAAACTAGGGGCTCATGAGCCCCGGTCCCAGTGTATTGTTGCGTGAGCTTCACAAAGCTGTGCCTGCAGCAGCCATCTCTCAGCTGCTCCCTCAGCAGATCAGCATGGGAACATCACCTCTGTCTCCATCAGCAGCTGAGAGATGCAACAATAGCGGCTCCCATCCATAGGTCAAAAGGAAGGGATCCTTAGACCTTCTGTCCAAGCACTGCCAGTCAGTGAGCTAAAACTGGGATGTTGGTGGGGATAAAGGAGACCAAGAAAGGGTCAGGAAAAGAGAGAACAGCAAATAGAGAAGGAAGATGATTGCAGAGAAAGAGGAGTAAGCAGCAGTCAGACTTGAAGCTGGGGAAATAAACAAAAAGGGAACATCTGTAGGGAAAGTTGTACAGGCAGGAGAAAACAAGGCCAACAAAGACACTGCATGCCCAGATAATACAGAAGAAATATCTCTGGGAAACAGCATTGGTTGTTAGGGGAAAATAGGGCCACAGGATAATGAAGGTACTGCCATAATGCCAAGGTTGAGCCTGTTTTTATTTCTACCACCACCAATTATCAGTGTTTGCTGAAACATAGCACAAGCTATAAAACTACAATTGTTCCCCCCACCCCGTGCTATTTGATTTAGTTAAACAAATAGAGCAGCAGAGCAATTTCACTGAAATCTTTGTGACACAATACAGCTGGAAAGGTATTTCCCAAGTGTTAAACAATGTCCTTTTGGCATTGACAGAGGAGACTCTAGGGTGATAGAAAACAGAAACACTATACTTAAATCCTGTCTAGTATCATCTGCTCTTTGCTTGTAATTCAGCAGTGTAATATTGGGAGTGGATTTTCCTCAACAGTTATGCAGCAAGCCTTTCAGTTGAAATCATTACCAAGAGTGCTTTTGTGGAGTAGCGCATGGAGAAGACCACAAGATCCACTGATCTCAATTACACCAGTGTAAATCTGCAGTAGATTGACCCTGATATATAATATAATAGATCAGAATCTGGCCAGTGCTGTAGACTTCTCTATTGAGCCAAAAGTATTAGTTTTATTTATTGTAAAATAAACAGTGGAGGAAGAGATTTTTTTAAAAAAATCTTAAGGGGATCGATAGTTTGTTATTAGGTGCTGGGGTTGCAAAGTGCAGAATGCCATTTACTTTATTAAGTTCAGTCTGAAAAATAGTCTGCCTTCTTAACTGACATTTTAAACATAAGGGCTATTCTGAAGCTTTTCACCAAGTATAGCCTTGTATGCTGGTCCTTTTGGCCTCATTGACACTGTTCATGTGACAACATTAACAGGAAGAGCATCACCATGCACAACGTCTATGCAGCAGAAGTAATTTCCTAGCAATGCTACTAAGTGACAGTGGACCTGCCTGTTAAAATCAAAATAACCACAGCAATCCCCATGTATGAACGGTTATTTCAGCTCTTACTGTACGTCATACTCATGGATTACGATTAAGGCTTCGTTTACCTCAGGGAGGTCATGGAATCCATGACTTCCAGAGACCTCCCAGACAGTCTCTGCTTCCGCCCCGGGGGCTGCAGGACTCTGGAGCTGACAGCCAGTGGGGCCCTGACAGGGTTCCAGCGACAGGCGACAGCAGCAACAAGCAACAGGGACCCCCCCTATTCCAGCAATAGGTGACAGACTCCTAAGGGGGCCCGCCTCAGGGTTCCAGTGACACGGGACAGCCTCATGTGGGGGGAGGGGGACGCCTCGGGCGAGCGGAGTCCCGTTTTGTTTTCAATTTGGGAAATAGAGTCACCGTAGAGCTCCCAGCTGCCGTGGATGGAGGTTTAACCCCACAGCTCCCAGCCACCACGGTAGTGGGGGAAATCATGGAGCTGCAGCAGCAAAAGTCACAGACAGGTCAGGGCTTCTGTGAATTTTTGTTCATTGCCTGTGACCTGTCCATGACTTTTACTAAAAATAACCATAATTAGGGCTAAGATTTTTGTCATGATCCACTACTGTACATTTGTATGGGGCCAGGTTTAACACTAATTATGGGATAAATTACATCATCTCATCATATTCGTTTTACTTAGCAAAGCCAGTGTAAAGCTACTGTCTGTAAAGCTCTAAGCGAAGAATAGAACTTGGTAGCTCCATACACCCTGCCATTCAGTCCGGCAGCTCTATTAAACCAGGGATTATCCTATACACTGATCTACATAAGCATGCTAATTATGGGCTACATTGTAGCTCCTCCCCCAATCCACATAGAGGGATTTTCCATGCAGAAGAGGGACTAAGGTGCCTCTTTGGCAGGGGTTGCCAACCTGCGGCTCTTCAGAGATTAATATGTGGCTCCTTGCGTAGGTGCTAACTCACTCTGGGGCTGGAGCTACAGATGCTAACTTTCCAATGTGCTGGGGGCGGTGCTCACTGCTCAACCCCTGGCTCTGCCACAGGCCCTGGCCCCACTCCACCCCTTTCCCCAAGGCCCCCTGCCCTGCCCGCACTCCTCCCCCTCCCCCACAGAGCCTTCTGCACATGCAAAACAGCTGATTGCAGCAGGTGGGAGTTGCTGGAGCTGGGCGGGGGGGCTGCTGATGTATAACTGTGGCTCTTTGGCAATATACATGGGTAAATTCTGGCTCCTTCTCAGGCTGGCAAGCCCTGCAGCCAATGGCATTGTCCCCTACCCTCTTCCCAGACCCTGTAGGTGTCTCTCCTCAGGCTGAGGTCTGCACAGGGAAGTAAGAAGGGGCTGGAGTATCCATCAATCTGCACCCTCACAGCTGTATGGAATTTACTGAAGAAGGCAACAGAGGCTCAGGCTTATGACCTTTTACATGGATTCCCCCACCCCTGGGAGGCCTCAACAGCAGGGAAGTCACAGTCTGGTTGGGTTACGGACAACAGATCCAGTGGAGCTATGGTGTCAGGAATCCAAGAGGGCCAGGGCACACGTTAGAAGGCCTTTACCGGAAGGAGGAAAACTCTGCCACCCCCTCAAGTATTATTTTTGTAAAATTAACTCTGGCTAAAAGTATCATAAATTATCCAAATTAATTGGTTTAAATTTCTGGACAAACCCACTGAACACTCAGAGATAAATTACTATCTTCTAAATTACCCCTTTGTTCCCAGATTAGCATTTGTAACACTGTCACACATCCCCGTAGCCCACAATTTATACAAAGTGAAACCAACTTTTACCCCCTGCTTCCATTTCAAAATTGAAGGGAAGTAACAAAGCTGTGGCAGACAGACATGTTGCTACAGTACCACACTGTACCTCTTTATGAGCCTTGCTACATTTCATGCAGAGATTCAACAGACTATTTAAAAGTTAAGCCACCTACACAGCTGATTTCTAGTGTGTTGATGTAAGTGGGAAGAAACACCCCCCCACCTGCTGTTATTTTTGGGCTGCAACAAGTTTGCTTAGTATCTGACCTATTAAAAAACAAAATCCATCAACCTAAAGGGAACTTGAAAATTATACAAGATACAGTACACACAGTCTTAAAACTTAGATGTAAACAAATCCCACTTAAGTCTTGGAATGTCCACTCACTATTTGAGGCACATGGTTACAAATTAGACATAGTAAAAGGAATTTGGATTCTGTGTATTAGATGTTTTAACTTCAGTCTAAATTTAGACAAATGCTTTTTGAAAAGTTACTTTTAAAAGATTTAGCCTTTACCTGAATGAAGTCAGAGTAACTTCAAATAGTCAAGATTTATTCAAACTGAGTCAACAGGACTGTTCAATTTAAGGCTTACAGAAGTAGAGCTGAAACTCTTAAGAAAAACAAAAACAGACAATGGATGTGCCTATGATATTGATTAGACAAGACAATACTAAAGAAACTTAAGAAAAATATTGAGTCCAATTACTAGAAAAAAAGCAAAAAAAAATCTGTTCAGAGTGTTTTTAGAAAAATCACTAGTTTACTTGGGATATACATTTAACCTATTTTTTATTATAAATTTTTAAATTAAAGGGGCTTTTTTTTAAATAGAGCAAAATGTGGAATTTCACAGAACACAATTGCATAAGCACACTTCAGTGGCTAGCATTAAAAATATTTTATGGAAGTGATAGTAAATGTTTGATATATCTGGAGAATTTCCATTCAGTTTTTAGCCTAATGAGGCTTTAACTGTTCTAAATAAATAAATAAATAAATCCATCCAAGACCCAAATGCTACGCTACATATTACTTTAAACAAATTTCAACAAATTTTAAAGTGCTCAGGAACTTCTACTGTAGGGCAATTTTTGTTCAGGTGAGTAAATTTCACTTCAGCATGATATAGAGGTATGTTCTCTGGGTTTATGCTTCTGCATCTGTCACTGTGAATTACTGTGAACAGCATTAAAATAAAAAATCCAGATTTGGTAAGTCTTGCACTTTTTTTTGGTAAGTCTTGCAAGATTTTAGCACCAGGACAAACGAAAATTGCAGGATGGATCTTTTCAGTCAGGCCAACTGAGCCAGCTTTTCAGTTTCCCACATGTAGATTCCAAGTTGAGTTTTGGCTGGAATATTGTTTGCAAAGGCTGGTATGCTAGAATACGTCTGATCCTCTTCTAGTACCAAAGTATGAAGCCTTGAAAGGTTTAAACACCAAGCTCTGCTTCCTGGAATTGTGCTGTTGGCAAATGAAATTACTTTTCTGCTTGATGTAGTCATGCAACTCTAAACACAACTTAGGGTTGGGGTTTTGTTTTTTTTTTTGGTGGAAACACTTTATGGCTAAATTCAATATAAAGTGGCAAACTTTAAGTACTGTCACGCACAATGTTGAGCTTTCACCTGCTCTGCTTTATTCATGGAGCATTTGCATTATTGCAGGTGTATGCCAGGCTACCTCTTTAATATCATATGGGCAAAAGCTACAATATGCAATAGCCCTTCACGTGTGGCACGTGGAGGAAGACAATAAGAAACCAAGCCTTCCACCTGGAGCAGGAACCAATGCTGAGGATTTACCTGGAGACTGGAAGGACTGTTAATTACATCAGCCTTTACTTACAGAAGGAAATGGGAATGCTACAAGGTCATCTTAAGCTAAAAATGGCCTAACAATTTCAGAAGTGCTGTGTAAGTCACGTGCACTCAACTCTGTGTTAAGAGATTGGTGCCTTATCCAGGCCAGGCAGAAGATACACAGGTTACCATTAAATGGCGCACACGTCAGGCTTTTTGGGAAGAAGTGTGCACACATGCTGTTCCTGAAAATGCACTGCAATGCTAGGTCACTTCATTTGCGGGGGGGAAACGGGGGGAGGTGGAGGAAAGGAAAGGAAATAGAATAAGCTCCTACTCCATGTCCCAGTTTCAAAATTCTACTTAATTTAGGCTCTCTACCCAGGAAACATTTCAGATGTTGAAGAAGAACAGATACTACATTTATCTTAAATCACTTCTCAAACTTTTGGCTATTTCAGGTTCTCTGTATTCATACGCAGCACTATTGCAAATCCAAAGCAAAACACTGTCTTAAGTATCACTACTTTCCCCCCAGTGGAGATTGACTATCTGCTGGGAGGAAGGAGGGCAGGGAATCACATTTTGAGTGAAATCTATGAAAATAGTACCAGCCTTAGTGAGCATGCTTCTACCTGTGTATTTCTGGTCTCACTTGGTTTCATGAGAAGTTTAGCAAACAGCAAGAATTACTCACCTGCTATTCTTGGCATCACTAATAGCAAGTGAGTGCTCCCTTTACATTTCCAGAAAGGCAGGTAGAAACAGCCCTTAACTTACTATTACAGACTGGAAAAGAAGTTTCATTTGAACATGTTTTTATGGACAAGTTATTTTAAAACTTCCCTACAGTTAACTGCTGTAATGCTACAGCCCAAAGTCTTTATACCACATTTTGGCTGGTGTGCAATAGGATCAAGAGGAACTGTGTGAGCAGACAGTAGAAGATCACTACACAAAGCACATAGCCAGCCTTAAATGCAGCTCTAGAAAACACTGCAAAACTCCATGCACACAAGCCTGTGAAGAAGAAAGGGGTAAGGGGAGCTTAACCTAGAAGCCAAGCAGCCTACCTCATCTCCCAAGATGGGGACATTAAGTAAACAGGTAAGCACAACTGCTTTGACATGCAGTTATACAATGTGCAGAAACACTTCCCTTTCTTCATATGCAGCTGTCCTCTTGCACCATTTTGGGGTAGCCAGAATTGGGCCTTGCAAGAGTCTCTGTTCAGTGTTGCATCTTAGTTTGCATATTAAGATTCTGTGGCTCATGGTCACAGCTGTTTGTTGGGGAAAATTTCTTTGGAATATTTGTGTATTTTTGCTGAGAATATTTGTGTATTTTTGCTGAGCATTAAAAAATACTTAAGTGTCTCTGCTCAAAAATTAAAAATGTAAGGTAAGAGGAAGCGGCTTTGCTCTTCTGAGGTCTCTCTGATCTCCTGAGACAGGCTGAGGTCTCTTCCAACCCTAATATTCTACGATTCTAGGCTTCTCTCGCCCATACCTCACCCTCTTTGCAAATAGGCGATGCTAGCTTTGTAAAAGCCAGTCCCATAATTTGCACCTAATGTAGTTATCTGTGGATGAAACAAGTACTAGAATTCCAAACCAAATAGAGGTTGGGACACATTGAGAGAGTAATCTAAAATAGTTTTGAAAAGATCTGCACATATCTATTTACCCATTAAAACATCTCTATTTAAAGCAATGCTACTTTAAGTTATTCTTTACTACACTTTTTATCATTAAGAATTTGTTAATGGGAAATGATTGAGTCTATACATGACTAACTGATTTCAGTTTGGAAAAAATTGACTCTGACATCATATTTAAGTCTAGCTGAAGTTTTTTTTAAAAACAATTTAAAAAAAACATACTTTCCTAAAAAAAAAAGGGGGGGGAGAACTGCCACTCTTACAAATCAGTATTTGGTTAAGGGAAATATAGTTAAATTAGAAACTTACCACACTAGTACAAATGACTAGTTCACGTTCATTGTCTGAATAAGTGAAATTCAGAGTAACAGCATATACAAACATAAAACAAACTTTTTACATTTTCAGACATGTGTGTCTACCTCACTATATCTATGGTGCTCATAATGTTTATGTACAATGGATTTCTTTTTGAAAAGGTTTTAAAATTTAGCCCCTTTAATATTAGCCATTAGAAACATCATATTGTTAAAGAACCAATGGGAGCCAAGAAAAAACATGAGCTTTTATTTGTCTCTTTCCATTAATATTTCCGAGTTAGCAAACCTAACTGTATATTTTTATTTTTGGTAAGGGGACATGGACTAAGGTTTTATGAAAAAAAAAATACAAAATAGCATATGTTGTAATGACACTTCGCTTAGTTTCATTCTAGTATATACAAGCCACGTTAACTGTAGTAGGCAATTTTGAACTCTCCTCCCCATTCTAAAATGAGTATCACAGATATTACTAGATGTTACTAGATACTGGAGCTATTGGGTGGGGTTTTTTTTTTAAGTTATATAAAAGGAAGATCAGATCCAAGCTATTGTTTAAGTGATACTAAAAACAACCCAAACTTCACTGTAATTCAGTTGATTTTTAAATTGGCTTTCATTCTTTAATGTTTTAAACATTTCAAAAAGAGTACCAGTCACTATCAGCAATGTTAAGGGTGGAAAAATCCTTTCCCTATCAATCAGCATGTACTCTCAATGGGCCACAAGCTACACTGGTTGAAGAGAAAAGTGTGAATGCAAGATTAAGTTCATTAATGAACTGCATTAGGTGAATAGCCACCCCAGTGCATTTCGGATAAATGCATCTAGGATGTACAGCATATGTGTAGGGATCACTGAAAGATGCACAGATTAATCTAGAATACCTCACAATCCGAATTACTAGTTGATTGCTTGTTTATATGCTTGAAATCATAGTGTTCTTAATTATCTCAGCTCTGCAGTAAACATCACTGAAAAGCTTTAAAGTGTGCACAATAATGGCCACATAATTGTGTTGCACATTTTCCATGTTTTAATTGACACAAAAGTGAGTCCATTGTACTTAAGACACTACACTGATTTCATTCTATTGCATGTCCTGCTCCAATTACATTTCTTAGAATACAGTATAGAGTAAAAGTTTTGTAGCTTTAAAATTAACAAGTGTGTGAAATCTGTAAGTAAAATAAGCAGCAGCAATATTTTTTGGGATTTTATCAAGAGTAGCTAGTTTTAAGTAATAAATACATTCCAAGTTGTGGTATTCACTATTCTCCTAGTTCACTGCTTTACTTTTCAATTCCCTTGTTTTCGGTTAGATATCCTTAAGACTTTCCTGTCAGCCTCGCACCAGAAGAGTCTCCTAACTCCAGTCCAGGTGCCCGTCACCCTTCACAGATAAGCAGTGCAATCTGACAAGGAAACTCATCCTGCTGTCATCTGCATGGCAACCTCAAGATTCTCCTGGGGAGCATGTCAGGATGTTTACAGACTTCATGAAACTCTAGGAGAACAGCTGTGTTCTTATCTTCTGTTACCTTGAAGAAAGTGAAAGAGGGAGAAAGGTTATTGTAAGTGGCACAGAACTGACCAATATTAGCGGTGAGAGGCTCACTTTCCTTTACTTCATCTAAATATAACCTGCAACTCTTGTGGTGTAAATTTGCATGGCAAACTGAAGACATAATAGCTACAGTTTAATAATAGCCTCATTGAATTAACAGATCTAAATAAAAGTTGGAAGTAAGCAATAATACCACTGAAATATTTTTTGAAGAATGCAGTTGTCATTTTAATGATGAAGAACAGAATGTGATAGCTGGCTAGCTTAGTATTTAAATCTTAAACAATTCACTTTTTGGTGTAGGGATATAATAAGTTTTCCTATACTGGACTCTGGTTAAAACCTATCAGAAATTTTTAAGATTCTTATAGTCCATTTTTTCCCTTGTGACCTGTACTTCTCAAAAAAATTTATAAAATAGGAAAAAAGGTTCTTCATGGAATCCAACCCCTTTAACTCTTAATTTAAGCTTGCGTAAGGAATTGCAGCTGTTTAAATTAGCTGATGCATGTTTAACATCTGAATTTTCAGGTAGAAATGTACATTTCTGATAAGAAAAAGAAAGAAAAAAAAAGCAAGAGATGTTTCCTTCCAGCCAATACACGTTGCTCAGAATGGAAATGAAAAAAAATCAGAAATGAGTACATTTCATTTCAACTTAACGGTTGAAACAAGGAGATACCTGAGATGATTGTGAGATACTGCTGTCAAACCAGATTGGCACAGAGTATTCCTCCCACACCATTCTTGCAGGATACCAATGAGAGTCATCAATGCTCCCGATAGTCCAATCCACACCTCTAAGCAGAGGAAGTTATTCATATCCCACTATAGCAATCTCTAATAGTTGTGATATGTACCTATTTTATTGGCCTTTTAAAGTTAGACTAAGAGCCCCAGCAGCTCTTATTACCTGGTTACCTCAAAGACTATACTGGAACACTTGATTTGCATTTAAAGAGAAGCTGTCAATATTATAAGATTCCAGGACTGTTTCTGTGTTTCGCTCTGAAGCCTAGAACGTCTGTGGAATCAGTGTGAAGTGATGAAACAGCTACGAACATGGCTGAGAGGTTTTTTTGTTCAGAATATCACCAAGTTCAATCATCACTGGGATTCATAGTCTATTACCAACCAATTTTTAAATTCTTAGCCATTTTGACTTTACAAATTACACACATGACAGCAAGGCATGTATTTATGTCATGCCAAGAATCCTAGATCATCGTCACATTAGAGGTAACAACCAATCACCACCCTTACTCAACGGATAATTTGCATGCAGCAGTTTGATTGGTTGTATGAGGAAGACTGAATAGATGGATTATTTGGCCCAAGCATCATACTTATGCAACAACATGGGCTTTCCACTACTAATATGTAATGAAGTCACAACATTCAAAATGCTGCATTCCTCCCACTCTGACATGAACAGCATGTGCTAAGACTATTAGGCAGAGAGTAGGATTGTGGACACTGTCATCTGGCCTGCAGTAGTCTTGGGCAGAAGGCCATATCAGTGGGAGGGTTTGTTTGTTTAAAGAAAGAGGCAACATTTCACAAGGCTAAGATTTTACCTAGAAGTCCATGCAACTTATGCCTGCCATTCTGTTAATTAACTCTGCTGTGCAAAATGTACTGAAATTGTGCTACAGTACCTTGGCATGATCAGTGGCCTTAAACATTTGCATATCTATTTAACACACACCCTTCTGTTTATCTTGAAGACTGACTGGAGTAAAACTGATTAAGAATAGTGACTGAACAGTGCAAGTCAGGAGATCTTGTTGACAGAAGAGTGGCTGAAAACATTGAGGTCATCCATAAGTTTTTAATATTTTCCTCCAGAGAAAACAGGTCACCACAAATGGACTTCAGAAGCAATTCAATCAGGGCCTAGCACTAAAATCCATGATCAGTCCTAACTCAGAAACTAATACTGTCAGGATTTTAGGACCTCACATTTACCTTTCTGATGAATAACAGAATGAGATGTAATACTATGGTTAAGGGTCAAAGTCCTTTTTTATAGAACCCTCAGAGTTTAAGTCTAAAAGTTGAATTATGAGAAGAAAAATCCAATATATAATGATTTAAATAAGTTAATTACATTATCACATTTCTCTGCACTGCTAAAAATGCACCACAGCCTCCTGTTAGCATGAGAAACTAAAAGTGAAACTGACTTGCCTGTCCTTGTCCAAGGTGACTGAAAAACACAAAAGAACCCATAGCCCTTAAACATGATAAGCTAGAAATTCAGTATTTTAATAATTTACAGTCTTGTTAGTGACAGAAAGTTTGTTTTTAAGTCACTTCCTTTGACATTCCTATGAAACTCCTATCCTAAAGCACCTTTATATTTCAGCAAAGTCTGTATTCAGAAATTTCGTGTACACTTTCAAAACTCAGCTACTTCAAAGAAGAGCCGCAAAAAAACCCAAACACAAACTGATCGAAAACAATCAATTTATCAAGCACACTGGGGCCTGAAAGTTATCTGCAATGTGTGATTTGCACCTTTGAACCATAAAACACTACAGGTGGAATTTTGAAAAATACCTACATCACTTCAGCATTTACTGTTTGCCTTAAAGAAATAATTCTGCAAACTTGGTCAGATTGTACATTCCCAAACTAAGCTCATAAAGAAACTTAGTTATTTTGTGGTATGGGAAGAAATATTAAGCACATAGCAACTGACAATTTCTGGTTTGAATTTTTGAAGCATTACTAACAAAACTCACAAAAACCTAGGTAGTTTTGTTAGAGGATTTAATCTTATGACAACAACCATTCCCCCCACCCCACCTTTTCTTTTTACTGAATGGGTACATAACTCAGCCTGCCCTGTGTGTTCTTTAATGCAATTGCTTCAAACCAAGATCAGAGACTATCTTCTCACAACAGAAATTTGATAGGACTGGCACAACTGCAAGTTGGCTTTTACAAAGCTTTGATAAACACTGGTTTCAGAGTAGCAGCCGTGTTAGTCTGTATCCGCAAAAAGAAAAGGAGTACTTGTGGCACCTTAGAGACTAACCAATTTATTTGTTTGTCCCTAAAGGTGAATGCTTATAACTTCTCTTCACATTAACCTACAGTTCTGGTGCCACTACAAACCAGCAGTTAATAACCTTGAATATAGGAGCTCATGGCTCAAATAGAAAGATGAAGCTTCTTAAAAGTAAGAGCGCACAAATGGCTATTTTAAATATATTATACCAGATAGATTCAGCAGTTTTCAAGTGCAGTTCATTTGACTAGTGAAGGAATATTTATCAAATGAATGAAGAGAGACTTACCTAGTTACTCTCAAGCTTCAGATGGCTAGTACCGTACAACACCTCAAAATAAAACTGCAATTTAAAGAGAAGTTTGAGATTCTGGAAACTTCTAAGTCCCTGATGATTTACATATTATGGATTTACTGATTTAGGTCAACAGCATGAGAGGCAGCATGGTCCAGTGACTAGGGCTACAGCTAGAGATGTTTGGAACAATCCAGGTGGCAGAGGAAGAGGAGGGTAAAAAATAGCCCCACTTACAGGGGTGCTGGAACAATTTGTATAGTGGGGGTGCTGAGCCATTGAATCAAACTGTAAACCCTGTATACGATGGAAACCACTTCCAGCCAGGAAGTGTTGTAGCACCCCCGGGTCCAGCCCCTATGCCCAACTTAATGCAGCTGGTGAATCCTGTTGCAGGCTTGTTGTATATGACTAGCCATTTTGTATCTGCTGCAACTATATAAGTCCCCTTGATGAAAGTTAAACACACACCCAAGATTTAAATGTGCCACTTTTGTCTTCTGCTTAGTCTAGTCCTGCCTCGCGTCTGCGTGGTGGATGTTATACAACTGTGCTATTAAACCTGCTTAAGACATTTCTCCCCAGGGAAAAAGTCAAATACAGAGTTGGGTCAGCATTATGTTCTCAGAAGTCATTTGGCATTTTAATATACTATATACTTTGCTCCCGTAAGAAAAGACACCAATCCCCACACTAATTCTATTTTACAAAGAAATATCAGATACCACATAGCTGGATGGAATCTAAAAGTTAAAACTAGCACTACTATTTAAAGGTCAAGATTTTATTATTTTATTTTTTTGAAGCAACAAGTTGGGCACTCAAATCACTAAAGACAATTTAAGATGATCTGAGGAGGGCAGATTTTTCAGAAAGTGACAAACTATCAGGCCCCTTTGATAGAATGGGGAAACATTAAAAAAAAAAAATCACTAGCATGGGTCAAAAATACTAGCCAAAAGGTTGTGGGTCACTCTTTTCCTCTTTTTATTCATCAGGTGTGCATTGGAAAATCTCAATAGTTTATAAAGCAGGATAATGAAATGAACCAAGTAAAAGAGGAAAAGTTTTTCAGACTTCAACCAAACACAAAGTAGCAATAAATTTACGTTTCACGCCAATTTAGACATCGTGGGTCATTATCTGAGAAAAGTTCAGCGCTGCCAACCTCAAGCACTGAAAACTCATTCTTCAATCCTCAAAATAAAATTAGATTTGCTTAAAAATAGTGATTTAAAAAACTCATTGGATTCTTTATGTTCACTGGGTTTTTAGCCTTTTAGGTACACACTGTTCACATTTTCAAGATTTTCTCCACAATCACAGGGACTAGATTTTTTTAAATAAACTGAAGCAGAGATCCTCCCCTAGTCACTTGATTTTAGGAGCTGGGGCTTTGAGACGGAAAACAAATATCACGAGAGATAGAAACATTGAGTTACACTTTATGTAAAGGCTGTTCAATTTACACCTAAAATTTTTACTCCTCACAAGTCAATCCCTGCAGGGACAAACTTCAATTTGATAATCAGACCTGCATGGGCATGTCTCTGTAGGCATGAGCAGAGGGGCTGCTTGCATGGATCCAATCACAGGATCTGATCCCAAGATAAAAAGAGGTCCATGTGACTGTTCTTGAGGCACCCAGGACTGGAAATCACTG